TTATAAACGTTTGACGATTTGTGAGGTTAGAAGCTAGAAGCTCTCTCACGGAGGTGAGGATGATCTAATGGGTCTTGGCGCCGTGTATAGTCGTCGGTAGAGTCCAGCGTTTCGGAAAAACAAACTGGCTACATCTTCAGGGCTGATGGTGGAGATAGTTTGTTTCTTCGAAACGTGTTGTTGTTCTAGGTTTGGCCCCATGTGGAATCGTACCATCTAAATTGCGCAGAAACACAGAATAATATTAGTGTTTAACGGTTTGTTCTCTGATACGAAATGCTCGGATGAATCACTGCTCATATCGATAGACAATAAAACAGAATAAGATTTTTCTGAAAAGAAAGTTAATCTTTTACAAGTCTACTTACTGAAACTGTAACGATGTGAAAGGGGCTGGAATGCCAGGGTAGTAAGGGGGTTGATGTTTGATGGCTACAAAACTAGGGAGATATGGCTAGAGTTATATTCACTCCACTTAACATCTCTCCCCAGAAAAGTCACAGAAAGAGACACTTATCAGGGGACAAAAGAAAAGCAGAATATAAAAGTTGCCGTCTTCCTCTTTGGAACTTTGTTTGTCAAGTTCTTCCGTTCTGTATTTCGCAGGTTTTTTTCTTGTCTTGGTTGTGTCGTTATAAGAAATGTGTGATGGTATAAATAGCACAGCGTGGGGCCCATGACTCACGTCTTCTTGATATTATAGCACCCCTTCTGAGGAGCATTAATACGTTTATGACAATCTTATTCCAGCACACAGTCCTTAAGATTGTTCTTAGTAAATACAATAGTAATGTTCATTTGATTTCTCTGTACAGATGGCGGAGAGACAGAATGTTACTGGTAAAATTTAGAACTTGTTTCCTTCATAAAATACCAGAGCGTGGTACATAAGAGAAACCTTATTTCTTGTGCCACGTTAAATAAATCTGTAATCCTTGAGTTTGATTTACTGTACTATATGTGAATTTGTTGATACCAGTTGGTTTAGTCTGATATCACCTTTCGTATTGTTATGTGATATAATGTAAATAGTGTTACTGGGCGTATAGTCGGCAAAGTGAAAATTGTAATTACATCATGGGAAGAATGTATACAGGAAATTAATTTTCGCTGCGTTTTTAATAAACTGTTAACAAGTTTTTTTGTATAAGAACACGCCGTGGCCTATTTTTATCTTACAATCCTGGATATTCATCACGAGAGAAACCTCAGTTGTGACACCCGGTCGCCGTGTCGAGATTCAAACTGTGAACCTCTTGAGCATAAACGTAATGCGTTACCGTTAACATGCTCCGTCTTTCCATTTCTAAATTTATCTCACGCTCTTTCATGCTGACGTACAGATACTACATCGCATGTTTTCACTTGAACTCCTTGCTCTCCCCACTCCCCCCGTGGAGTATCGCTCTCTCGGCAAAGATCCGGTCTGGACTAGCGTCACGTGGTCAGTTTCGGTGCTCTAAGTGGTTGAGGATTTATGAGCGGAATAGAGTGGAATCGTATAGGTATTGTAAGAAACACGGTGATGAAGGTTGGAGGAAGTGAAGTGAGATGTCTCTGTCAAACATCCGGCTTCTTTCCTGTACAGGGGTACAGAGGTGTTTACTTTCCAACGTCATGTGTCGTGATATGTCTAGGAGGGCAGCAGAGAGATTGAGGTTAGAAATCCTTTTCTGTTTTCCTTCAGATCTTGTAATCTCTGTGGTGAAACTATCACGAATTATAAATGAGTACGAATTCTGTCCGTCTAAGTTTGTCAAGTTTAAATCATGATTTCTGCTCTGTCACCACTTTTGAAATTGTTAACAAATGTTTCATGTGGAATATGTTGATGTTCTATCCGTACAAAATATCCAGTTTTGTTATTTATAGTAAACCAGACAGGTAAATATGACTCACGCTGTTACTATGTTTTTACGATCTACAAACTATGATATTTCGCGTCAAACACAAAACAAAAGCAACTGCACCGGAAGCAGGCGGCAGGATTCGTATTTGCACTTCACGGAATCTCACCAGGTCGCAGCACCAACTGATGGCATCTGTCTGTTGTTTGTGTAAATGTGCGTGACCGGCAGTATTTGCTGGTCGCCTTCCTTCCAACCTCCTGTAACGTTATGATGCAGTTACGTCATTCTGGAAGATACGACACTTAGGAGGTAATTACTGCCGTTGTGTTTAAGGTGAAGCGAATAAACTGGTGCTGTAATTTCACGCGAACCGTCAGGAATATATTTCAAATAACACGGCATATTCTATAGACGTGACAGTTGTATCATTTCGAGAAACTTCAAAATTAAATATAATTCCGTTCGAGAATGGAATTTCGTGTAACTGATTCTCTTTTATCATGAAGCGTATAAAGCCAAAATATTTCGCTGTGTCATGTAGGAGGTTTCTGTTGCCGGCAATAGCGAATGTCTGGGAGGCGTACGTAAGGGGTGGTGTGTTTTGCGTGTTGCAGATGGGTGAGGGGTTCTGTCAGTGACAGATACCAGGCAAATGCTGGCCTGAGACGTGAAGATCTGTTTGCCAGCCCCCTTTTACGCATCCGTGCGAAGGGCTCCGAGATGTATTATCTGTTTAGTGTTTGCGACAATTCTGAGACACTTTCCTAAGATTACACTGACAGTTTAACTTAGATTTATTTATTGCCTTGTATTCTGAGGGTAGGGATGTCCTTGGAAGACTTGAGATCAAAACAGTTTGAAACTAGACAACGCTATTTTGCGTACACTAATTCCCTTCCAACGAAGATAACAGTCCTGTAGCTAGAGGTTTTCAGCGTTAAAGTGAGTCGTGAACGGTTTACGAGATTATTTAAGTCCATTCTCCTTTCTTGAGGAATAAATGTAGGCTTATGATGTCGCCACGCCGTCTCTGTGTGTTTATGTGCGTTTTGAACCTTTGAACCAGTTGGCCTCTGTTGTGGAACCTGACTGAACGTCGCGGCCTAGTGATTATCACTCCCACTTCGTATTCAGGGGGTCCCGGATTAAAGATTCAACTCACAGACTCCCTATTTTGACAGTGTTTCAGGGGGTCCCGGATTAAAGATTCAACCCACAGACTCCCTATTTTGACACTGGTTTTTTTTGACAGCCGTTCCAGGCAAATGCTTCCTCCCATATCTCACCCAATATATTATGTATTAATCATTGTATCATTTCGATAATTTTTTATTTTGAGTTACCGGCAGCGCCGTCAAATAAGACTTAGAATAAATAAATACATTTAAGAAGTGTGATATGGGCGTGCGTCATGTAGGTCACCCTTATACTTTTTATTTTCTTACAGTCGATAATAAGGAAATGGCGGATGCACAAATGTCTGAGGTGTTAGCTACGTCAACACTGCTTAAGATTTCTGTCTTCTGGGTTGTTGCGCTGTGTAGTCTGGTCCATAATATTTCTTTGTAGACTGTAACAGTATAAATACGTTTATGCGAATTTTAGAGTATATTTCAGTGACAGCAATAATTAATGTACTATCGTTAGTAAATTATGTATTAAATGTAACCAGTCTTTTAATGAAACTCGATTAGTATATAACGACCTACAATTTCTCTGACTACTCGTTTGCCTTTCACTGCCTCTCCAATCAAATAAATTCATTTTTAAATTCGGACCAGTGAGCTTGTTTAGGTCACTGATAAGCCTACATTCATAAACCCACAGTTCAGGTTTGAAAAATCTGTAGGCCACACGCTAGTCATGATCTGGTTCTTGAGGTTTGAAAGCGTTGTTAATGTCCGACTGTCACGTTCGCTTGTCCGATGGATTCGTTAAGTCTTCAAATAAATATTGTATTCACGTTTTCTCAAGTGAATGGAATCATGGGATTACACATCACAGAACTCGCGACTGACACGCTCCGGGCGGATTTCTATTGGACCACACTAATAATATTAAATTTGGGATCCTTATATAGGATAATCACTTTTTATTGAAACGAAATAAGACGCGTCTTCAAGCGTTGAGATGAAGACACTGTAGCGTGATATTTTGGCGTCGTGGGGAATTTCACGAAACGTGATTCATTACTGATCTCTTGGATTATGTGTTAGGCTTCCTTGTTCTCAAATTCCCAGAGTTGTGTAAACTGGATAAATTCAAACAAGTGTGAATGGGCGCATATTATTAAAATCCACTCTACGTGCTGGCTACATTTCACGTGCGATTTGAACTGAATCTGGTTCGTCTTCAGATAAAATCCATATTGTTTTAACGTATATTTTTTGTGTTGTAAAGGCCACGATTTACTTGCCGTACGAAATCTAGAAGAGCAGTAGTGTCTCTTAGTCTCTTTTGTAAGCTTTCCACCACATAATATCAAATTTTAAAAGAGTGGACGCTCTCGGGAATCCTCGAATTCCGTACACGATAAAGTAATTCGAAATAAACATTACCTATTCAGTACTGTTTCTTTATATGGGTTTGCGTGTTTATCTTTTATTGAACACTTTGTTTTTTTAATGAGTGAGGAAAGGAAAAAGTGGTATTTTATTCTTTAGAGCGTAACTGTAAGTGATGAGTCGTTGTTATGTTGAGTACAGAATGTTCAAAATTTTTATGTACAATAAAAAATATATCATTAACATATATTACACTAGAAACATTTTTTCCTCTTGACACGACACCAGTTTGCATTTAACGTTTTGTCGACACGAAATGAGTGTCATAAATCCGTGCTACCAACCTAGCCAAAATATTACCATGTTCACAATATCTGCATGCGAGTTTGAAGATGGCTGTCTTCGGGGATTTGCGCCGGGTACCCTAATAGACATTATCGACGTTTCAAAGGTGCTTTTTGTCTCTATAGTCAACGGGTGATGACTCGTCTCCCTGATAACGAAAGCAGTGATCACGTATGAAACGTCGGTAAATGTCTACCATAGTCCACGACATCCCAGAAGACAGTCATTTTAACTGCCTTAAAAACTTCAGCCATCATATTATTATGTAATTACAGATATTTATGTTTTTGTTTGTGCACAGTAAACGGGGGTTGGTCACCGTGGTCACAGTGGTCGGACTGTAATACCAGATGTGGAAGAGGGGTTCAAAAGAGGAGTCGCCTGTGTTCGAACCCCGCACCTTTGAATGGAGGTCTTGCCTGCCAGGGATCTTCAGTCCAGAAGACAGACTGTACTACTGTTTGTCCAGGTAAGACTGGCACAGAACAGGCGCTGCCGAGATACGTTCACTTGTGTTCGCCCAGTAATTGCATGCACCGACAAACATATGTTACTGTCTCGAAATAACTCTTCTAATAACGACTCGGAAAGCACGTATGCACAGTCGCTTCGCGCAATATAAGGTTTGCTAGCTGTGGGACGAGTGGGAAACTTACTTTGAGGACGCGCCTCGTAAAAAGTTGTCATTGTGTCTAGTTGTTATTTTAATAAGTTTAATCTTTAAGAATACGTGTAATTGTTACCCTTATTACTGCTATATATAAGCGATCATCGTCTTAGATCTCCAACACATTGGAATCGCTAGTTCGAATCCCGATCGTTTATTTGTTTACGTTTTTTGTGCGTTGTATCGTGAAAGGAGTGATCTTAAGATGGACTGACGGATGAGAAGTCTTAATGACTGTTTTAATAGGATGCAGACTGTAGAAATACTTGCCATGAGTGGAGATAAACGATTTAGAAGAACATTTATGTTTGAATATCATCGAAATTGTAGTGAACAACTTTCATCAGAGGTTGCCAAGAATTAGAAATAATATATGATAAAAATAAGCAAAAGATTTGGGTAATGTCTATGTACGTATATGGTTATGGTACTGAAAAATTATAACTGATTGATGGAACAGACCAAATATTTAGAACATATTTTGATTAATTAAAAAAGCATGTACGAGGTGCGATCGGAAAGTTTCAAGACTGCGCGTATAAAAACCCGTACACTTATCTCAGGTATTAAATTCATCCATCACCCTCGAAGTAGTTCCCCTGGGAGTGAACACAACGATCCCAGCGCCGCTGCCAAGCCTGGAAGCATCCCTGGAAATCTTTCTTTCTCAGCCTGTCAAGCACCATCTGCGATCTAACATCTAACCATCCCATCTCTCCTCCCCGAAGCGCTTTCAAGGCGTGTAGTGAGGATAGTAGGTGAATTTCATTTCGCTACGTATCGGACAACAAATATTCCTCAGAGTACAAATTGTAATAATCGTAATTCTCGTTAATATTGAGTACGTGGAATAATTAGACTGCATTAAAGTTCACCTTCATGTAACTCACTACAAGCAAGTGTGAACAGTTTGTACGCAATAAAATTTATGAGTATAGACACCGGAAAACATTTACTGTAGATCAGATTGTTGAAATAGATCTGTCTAAAAGACTTAACAAACTTGAAGATGGCTGTCTTCTGGGTTGTTGGGCCGTGTAGTCCGGTTGTAATTCGCCGACATGGTTACCTCCATCATCAGGGCGATGAGTACCCCCGATGATGGAGGCAGAAAATACCTCTGAAAAGTAGGTAAACTTCTACCAGACTACATTACGCAACAAACTATAAGACAGCCATCTTCAGACTCACCGCCTTGAAAACCTCAAATGCTACTGAAGAAATCTTCTCTTTTAATCCTGCTTTGCGCTATGGATCATATATTTCTTTGCGAGCTTCGTTTTTTACACGTTTCTTTGTTATTTCGCTATCAATATTTTCTTTGAGCTATACTTTATCTGCCCACGGAACACAGTAAGAGAGAATTTTCTTCACGGCAGATACGTATTAGATTCATCTTAATCCGCGATCAATAATCTTTCTTTGTGAGACTAGTAACAAAATTGCGTGGATTTTATATACAAGATATAAGATGTCCCTGCACGCCTTGTGTAACAGATTCTACGTGCGTCCATCTTACAAAACAACCGGACAAAAAGATTGACATATTCCAATATTTCCTAACAGGCGAATTGAAACAGCAGTAACGTCGATTATTTAAGTTTAAGAAGTGAACTTTTTGAATCTTAACCTGAATATTGGCAACCCTGGTACCCAGAACTTGGAACAAATCAAGACTTCCATGAACTAATTTTGTAATTCATGTCACTATATTTCTTTCTCCATAATTATTCCTTATTTCGCCCACTGAGATGAATTTGTTTGCAATGTTAACTAAGCTTAGAAGCAATAAAAAATTACATTACAATTACAACATTTAAATACGCTGTTTGCACTGGCCTTAATTCTGCTCTATGCAAAGAGTTCTTACGTACGTTGGTATACAGAAGATCGTCTTTGTCATTTTAACAGACGCAATATTTACACTAATTTCAGCTTTTAAATCTCAATGAGACACCGACAAGTGAACAAAGATAATTTATTAGCTTTCCTGGAGAGAATTTCTTATAAAAGTAAAGTGAAGTTTGTCCCACTATACGCCATGTAGGCGTTTGGGGGGAGAGGAGGTATAGCTCCTACTCTCCGCAATCGCAGGAGGGTCGGTGTAATGCACTACCAAAACGCCCGTAACTAAGAAACAAATGCTAATTCGATGATGCCGGCTGGCACACTGATTCACTATGAATGTAGGCCGCACCCCCTAAAGGCAGAAGCTCGTACTACATCCGGTTCGCCCTCTATTGACACAGTCTTGAAACTTTCCGATCGCACCTCGTATGATAAGGGAGACCATACGTGAATTTGGCTATAGCACTAATAATAATATATTTATATAATAACAAATGTCTATTAAACTTGGCGTTGTAATTCAACATTTTATATTAATCGTGTTTATAAACAGTGCGTTAACTTCGTTACAGTTGTAACATGTTTGCCATATAACTTCTTCGCTTTGTAATATTTTAATTCCTTTTATAATTTGATTTAAAGTAGGCAAAACATGTCGCAATATAGTTAAATATGTTTTCTAGAATTATCTAATAACGTAATATAATCTGTGAATTTCCACAGATGTTCTAGTACTGATACTTACGCGATAGTTCTTGTGAAGCCAATTTCAGAAATCGCCATTGCAAGGCGCAAGAAAACGAGTTTTCTCATCCATTAGTTCCAGAAAGGGAGGCAGTAACTGTGAGGACGATAACAATGCTGTTGTGATTATTACCAGCAATTTCATGTCGCTGTACAGTTTCTCGCGAAGGGTGAAATGGACTCAGTTAGTTTGTCACATTTCTATCGAGAAAAGACCACGAAACCGTAATTACTATTTCAATGTTTAGTTTGTTTATTAGAGATGCCAATCGATACGATTTCCCGTATCGATATTGGATACGTTTCTGTATATATCGAATTGTACAACCCAGAACACAGAAATCTTCATACTCTGATGACGGAGGCAGTATGACCTCTGAAACGTTGGTTAACATCGACCAGACTACACAGCGCAAGAACCCAGAAGACGGAAATCTTCATACTCACCGCTGTGAGAACCTCAAGTCTTACAATGTATACAGCCTCTAATTTTATATCAGATTATCGGAATTATATATAAATTATAGTAGAATATTTGCGTTAAATAAAATATTTTAGAGTGTTTAAGTAATTTAAATCAGTGTTAAACATTACATTTATTTGAGTTACGGAATAAATTTTTATTTCTTCATAAGGACTTAACTGAAAGGACTTTCCAAAAATTCAACAATTCAATTTGAGAATGGCATGATACAAATTTGGGGGGTAGTATATTTTATACTCATTCTTAACCTCGGCACTAGATGGGGGTGAGTAGTTAGTGTCACACCCCGGCCGCCCTTTACCCCCGGGAAATGACCCCGGTACCCATTGGATAGGAGGCTGGGTGGGCCACAGAACCGGTCTTAACGCAGAAGCTAGACAGGGTAGAGAAGAAAAGTGTAAAATTACATGAGGTAAATGAAGAAACAGGAATAATAGGCCGCGTGGGTGTATGACTTCTATCTCAGCGGGAGTCAGAAGTCGCCGCAAGACCGTAGCAAACAGAGTCCTCTGTGGTTTTGGTGGAGTTCTCGTAGCGCTGCCATGCTGGACGCAAACCACAGCTCCTCCGGGAACTGTAGGCTACCTCTGCGGTCAAATGGAACATACGAAACCAAATCGTAAAGCTCCTACCAGAAAACCGATATGTTTCCTTTTGAATTTCTAGCAGTGCTATATGGAAAACCAGACGATAAAATTACCTCAAATAAGATACTAGATTAAATTTAATCGCATTAAAATATCTACCAAAATGTAACATGGAATTTACTATCGTTGTACTCGGGAACATAACATGTAGCATTGATTCGTTAGTTAAAACTTACTCTGCAGTGCTATCTTGAAAATTAACGTACTTTAAACGCTTTGAAACGGAAACTCGTCTAAATATTTTAGAATTTAGCCTGTACCTCAAAGAAATCACGACTCTTTACCTTTACAAAGATTAACTGGTTAATGATGTTTAATAATCGCTGTTTACATTAATTAGCACACGAAACCCGTAAACATAGGGTGATGTTCGACAACACTCGTAACACTTTACTTTGACTGTTGAACGACAATTGATGGACTGGCGATAGCAGGTTACAACATGACGTGACCCTCGTATGCTGTTCGTATACTCACAACGATACTTTGTGTTTATTAATCCAGTCAGTTTGGGTTGAATTGAGGCAATTAATAAGGGCTTTAATGTGGGTTGCGTGTCTTTTTGATTACGCTGTACAAACTACGAACCTTTCTAGTTTTTAAAGCATGTGAGACACTGTTCG